TGAGCAAGTCACTTCTCCCTCCCCACCCCTGTCACTGTCTCATCTATCAAATAAGGGGACAGGGGCGAGGGGGATCTCAAACCAGGCTTCAGGGGGTCCTTGCACACACACACACACACACACACACACACACACACACACACACTTCCATAGTTGTTGGGCCCCAGGAACAAAACACCTCCAGGAAGAAATGAAGTAGCTTCCTCGTTGCCGGAATCAGAAGTGATGATTCAGGGGCAGAGCCAAGATGGCGGAGTGAAAGCAGTGACTTGCTTGAGCTCTCCTCCAAACCCCTCCAAATACTCATTAAAAAATGCCTCTGAACAAATTCTAAAGCAGCAGAACCCACAAAAAGAAAGAGTGAAACAAATTTCCAGCCCAAGACAACCTGGATGATTGATCAGAAAGATGTATTGTGCCGGACTAGGAGCGCAGTGCAGCGCAGCATGGGAGCGCAGCGTGGCGTGGGCACGCAGGCCGCAGCAAACCTGGAGCAGGCCTCAGAGGAGTGACTCCTGGGCAGCTATGGAGGTTTCCAGACTCCTCAACCCACTAATGCCAAAGACAATTTAGAAGGTCAGTGGGAAAAGTCTGTTTCTGTGGGTGCTGAGAAAGGAAGGCGGGTTTCAGCTCATTCCCCAAGAGTGTGGGGGGGCAGCTGCTTCCGAGCTTCCGGCCCACAGACTGAGGGGGAATCCAGTGGCTGATCACAGGGGGATTGCAGGGATCTCTTTGCCAGTGCTGAGGCAGGAATCTCTTGCTTTGCCCGTGTTTGGATCTGGGTCACAGTTCTGGGTGGCGGTGCTGGGGTGAGGAGGAACACTGGCATGGTGGAGCTTGTAGTGGCTGTGGAGAGGAACCCCTCCTCACAGTTACAGGACAGAAAGGAATACTTGTGGTCACAGGCCAGGAAAGGAGTAAACACCTCGCCCCTTATCATACCACCTTGGAAGAACTGAAAATTTACAGGTCCCTACAAGTATCTCTGAAAACAGCTGTACAAACCCCTGAAGCTTGGGACAGTACATTCTCCACATTGGAAGCAGACTCTTACCTTAACAAAGAGTTTAAAACTCAAGTAATTGGCCGGGATCATGAGCAAGCAGTGCAAAAAGAGTCAGACTATATTATCTTACTTTGGTGACAAAGAAGATCAAAATATACAACCAGAAGAAGACAACAAAGTCAAAGCTCCTACATCCAAAGCCTCCAAGAAAAATATGAATCAGTCCCAGGCCTTGGAAGAGCTCAAAAGGGATTTTGAGAAGCAAGTAAGGGAAGTAGAGGAAAAACTGGAAGAGAAATGAGAGTGATGCAAGAAAATCATGAAAAACAAGTCAACAGCTTGCTAAAGGAGACCCAAAAAAATACTGAAGAAAATAACACCTTAAAAAATAGCCTAACCCAAATGGCAAAAGAGGTCCAAAAAGCCAATGAGGAGAAAAATGCCCTAAAAAGAAAAATTGGCCAAATGGAAAAGGAAGTCCAAAAGATTACTGAAGAAAATACTTCCTTAAAAATTAGAATAGAGCAATTGGAAGATAGTGACTTTATGAGAAATCAAGACACTGTAAAACAAATCCAAAAGAATGAAAAATTAGAAAACAATGTGAAATATCTCATGGAAAAACAACTGACCTGGAAAATAGATCCAGGAGAGAGAATTTAAAAATTATTGGACTATCTGAAAGCCATGATCAAAAAAAGAGCCTAGACATCATCTTTCAAGAAATTATCAAGGAAAACTGCCCTGATATATTAGAACCAGAGGGCAAAATAGAAATTGAAAGAATCCACCGATCTCCTCCTGAAAGAGATCCCCAAAGGAAAACTCCTAGGAATATTATAGCCAAATTCCAGAGTTCCCAGGTCAAGGAGAAAATATTACAAGCTGCCAGAAGGAAACAATTCAAGTACTGTGGAAACACAATCAGGATAATACAAGATTTAGCAGCTTCTACATTAAAGGACCGCAGGGCATGGAACATAATATTCAGGAGGGCAGAGGAGATAGGATTACAACCAAGAATCACCTACCCAGCAAAACTGAGTATAATTCTTCAGGGGAAAAAAATGGTCATTCCTGATGAAAAGACCAGAGCTGAATAGAAAATCTGACTTTCAAATACAGGACTCAAGTGAAACATGAAGAGGTAAACAGGAAAGAGAAATCGTAAGAGACTTATTAAGATTGAACTGTTTACATTCCTGCATGGAAAGATGATATTTATAACTCATAAGATCTTTGTCAGTATTAGGGTAGTTGGAGGAAAAAAATTATATGTATGTATATATAGATAGAGGGCACAGGTTGAGTTGAAGATTAAGGGGTCATATCTGGAGAATAAAATTAAGGGATGAGGGAGGATTATACTCAGAGAAGAAGAAAGGGAGAGGTAGAATGGGGTAAATTATCTCACAAAAAAAAACAGAAAAGAAAAGTCTCTTACAGTGGAGGGGAAACAGGGGAAGGTGAGAGGGAATGAGTGAATCTTATTCTCATAGGATTTGGCTTAAGGAGGGAATAACATACACATTCAATTGGGTATGGAAATTGTCTTACCCTACAGAAAATAGGGGGAGAAGGGGACAAGAGAGCAGGGGGATGATAGAGAGGAGGGCAGATTGGAAAGGGGTAATCAGAAGTAAATACTTCTGAGGAGGACAGGGTCAAAAGAAAGAATAGAATAAATGGGAGGGCAGGATAGGATTAAGGGAAATAGAGTTAGTTTTTCACAACATGTCTACTATGGAAGTGTTTTGCACATGTACAACTTATATTGAGTTGCTTGCCTTTTCAATGAGGGTGGGTGGGGAGGGAGGAAGAGAGAAAATTTAAAACCTAAAGTTTTAAAAACATATGTTTAAAAAAAAGTTTTCGCATGCTATTGGGAAATAAGAAATACAGGAAATGGGGTACAGAATTCTATCCTGCCCTACAGGAAAATAGAAGGGGAAGGGATAAGAGAAGGGGGAGAGATAGAAGAGAGGACAGACTAGGGGAAGGGATATTCAGAATGCATGCCATCTTGGGTGGGGGAGGGTGAGAGGGGTGAAAATTTGGAACTCAAAAACTTGTAATGAATGTTGAAAACTAAAATAAATAAATTTATTTTAAATAAAGAAAAAAAAAAAAGAAAAAACCAGCTTCGAGGGCTCTCGAAGGAGCCAAGAAGATAGCTACCTTATGTAGCACCTCCTACCCTTTAGATCTGGGTAAACATTGGCAAGCCTTCAAGGGATGTGGGGAAACAAGTACCCTACTGCCCTGCTGGTGGAGCTGTGAGCCAGTCCAGTCATTCTGGAGAGCAATTTGAAGCTATGTCCCCGAAGCTATTAAACTCAGCATGCCTTATTCATACTGCTAGTAGGTCTACTCTACCTCAGTTAGATCAAAGAAAGAGACACAAGACCCATATATACAAAACTATTTATAACAGTTCTTTTTTATGTTGGCAAAGTATTGGAAACTGAAGGGGTTCCCATCAGTCGAATAGCTGAACAAGTTATAGTATGTGAATGTGATGGAACACTACTGTGCTGTTAAGAAATGATAGAGAGGATGGTTTAAGAAAAAACCTGGGGGGGTGGCGCAGTGGATAGAGCACCGGCCCTGAAGTCAGGAGGACCTGAGTTCAAATTTGGCCTCAGACCAAACACTTGACACTTACTAGCTGTATGACCCTGGGCAAGTCACTTAACCCCAACTGCCTAAAAAAGCAAAAAGAAAGAAAGAAAGAAAGAAAGAAAGAAAGAAAGAAAGAAAGAAAGAAAGAAAGAAAGAAAGAAAGAAAGAAAGAAAGAAAGAAAGAAAGAAAGAAAGAAAGAAAGAAAGAAAGAAAAAGAAAAAACCTGGGAAAACTTGTATGAACTGATGCAAAGTGAAGTGACCAGAACTAATCAAACAATGCATACAATAATTATATTGTCAAAAACAATCACAACGACTTGGGAACTCTGATCGACACAATGACCAGCCACGATTCCAGAGGACTCAAAATGAAGCGTGTCCCCCACTTCCTGAGGGAGGACTGATGGACTCATAGTACAAATTCAGGCATATCTTTTTTTGGATGTGACGAATGTGAGAGTTTGTTCTGCTTGATTATACATGTTTGTGAGAAGCTTTGTTTATCTTGCTTTCTCTTTAAATCTTCTTTTAATCATTAAAAAAAATTCTCAAGGGGGGAGAGAGATTTCATGCTAATTTTTTTTAAAGAGACAACTTCTGGGAAAACTAGAAAGCAGTTGGGCAGAAAAATAAAACTATTCAGCTTTACAAAAAAGCAACCTAGATGGTACCTAAGGGGAATTTTCTGAATACCTTTCAAAGTGGAGACAAGGATTTTCAGCAATTAAGATCGAAGAGTTGACCCTTTGCCCCAGGTACCCTTTAACCTTGAACCCATTTTCCCCTGCTTGTACATGTGAAAGAGTGTGTCACAGAGGATGTTTTGGATCAACTATTATATCATCTTAGTAAATATAGGTTTCTCAAAGTGAATTTAAGTCTAGTTGACTAATTGATATTATGGGTATGGGAGAAGGAAGGGCACCTGTGGGGGCTTATGAGCCACGGTATTATAAAGACATTTCCCTAGTTGCCTAAACCATCTACTTGAATTTTGAGGAGAAAAGTCAAAGCCACCCTTTGGGGACTTGGACCTCCAGGACTAATGGGGGTTGGGAGAGTGAGCCACAGAACCTGTCCTGCCTTTGTATCCCCATGTAAACTAATTTAGTACACCCTTAACCAAAAAAAAAAAAAGTGATGATTCACCCAAGCCAAGGGGTGAGTGGAGAGCCATGCTGGCTGTAATTGGGGGGCTCTTCCTTTTACAAAAATCTTAAAGCACATTAACAAATGCACCTAAAACGAAAGCTGGAACAAAAGGTTTGCCGCGCCTCCCCTGGGGGTAGGGGGTGGCTCAACATACCGGGAAGCCAAGCGGGGCTGAGTGCGACTTTCTCAGGGTCTCTTTTCTCTGTTCTCTCTGCAGCACATTAAACTTGTGGCTGAGTCGCTGAAGGAGGAAGGGAAGGAAGATGAGAAGAATACCACTTAGGAGAGTTTACCCACAAACTCCGCAGGGTGCATCCATTCCTTAAAGCTGGACGGTTACGTGATATGTGCGGAATTGGCTCCGAGCAGTGGCCTAGCCACGCTCTGTGCCCGAGGCGCAGCCCTGCCAGCCCACCCTAGCTTGGGGTGGGGCTCTGCTCAGCCTTCCCGTCCCCGAAGGCTGCCCCGGGCCTCCCAGCAGCCACCCCCAGCTTCACAGTTCACTGAGGCAGCTGAACTCAGGGTCCACCAAGCCTTCACCTCGTGCCCTGCTTTGGAGGAGGGATCACTGTGCATCGGGCCTGGCCTCCGGCCTGGCCCCGCACCGGCCTCTTGCTCCATTTGTCCTGATTTCTTTCCCTGGTAGTTTCTGGTCATTCGTTTTATCTTACCCCAGGTCTACCGACTTCAACTTTAGCCTGTCAGAGCCAATGAATTGGCAGCTCTGCTCACTGTCCGTCGCGGTGGCGTGTCCTTTTGGCCCAGAGGAACTCCTGGGAGCCATCTGGGCAGCTGGCAGTCACTGTAGGGACTACAGCAGGCGAGGCCGTGAGAGGCGCATATCGCGTGGTTCTCGAGTGGGCAGGCAGCGAATTCCAGCCGTGCCTCTTCCGATACCTCGATACGGGTTCTCCACTGCAGTGTGTTCATGGATTCTCTTACTCGTTAAAATGATAGTAGCAGAACTATTAAAGACAAAGATGCATGCCTGGCTAAAGTTTGTCGTAGTGCGCTGAGAGGTCCCTGGGGTCTCGGTCCTCCCCTAGAGTTCCACGAGTCGCGCCTCCAGGCGGTTATTCTCATTTGTGTTCAGTGGCTTCTGGTGTAGATATAGAACCTCCCCCACACACACACACACACACTCACCCACCCATACACACACGCCATCCCAGAGACCCTGGGGAAGAAGGGAAAAGAGGGAAGCCTAGACTAAGCCCCCCAGATCAAGTGACTCCGAGCTGGTCCTTTCTCCTTTCTGAGTCCATGAAGGGATGGGATCAGGCCAGATTCCGAGCCCGTGATCTTGTACCTAATGTGCGCAGCTGGACTGTGATGAGGCTTGCGCTGTGAGAGCCCACTCCGGGACATCTGCCGCTGATGGGTGAGAACCAGCCAGGCTTCAATGTGGGAAAAGAGTAAGGGAATGAAAATGCCACCCAAGTGGAGAGATGAGACACAGCCTCTGACTGCGAGCTAGCAAATACTCCCAGCACTGCCCGAGGGAGGCTTCTCTGGCTCACCAGGGCCAGGGGGAAGAGGAAGAGAAGGAAACTTCAGCCACACCCAACCCATCCTGGGCTGCCCCAGGGCCAGGTGTAGATGGGCTCCTTCTCTCCCTAACAGCATGCGGGAGCTTCTCACGCTGTAAGATCCGCCCAGAGCGGGAACAGCAGCATCCAGAATGGAACCTGCCCTTTGGGCTAACCTCAGGGTCTCCCTCCCGCACTTCCTCTGGTCCAGGTGTGGTCATCCCATCTCCCCCGAGGCATCTTTCTGCTGAAGCGTGTGGCAGGGGCATCTCTGGGGAAGCCTGCCTGGCCCACTGGGGTCATGGCATCTTAGTGTCGGAGGTTAGCCAGTAGTGGAGTCGTCAAAAGAGACCAGAGAAAGCCGCATGTAGGAATCCACACTTTCACATCCGTTATTGGGTGGACAGTTAGAAAGGAACTCGGCGCTCCTCGGAGCCAATCCCCTCCTTTTACAGATAAGGAAACTGAGGCCCAAGGAGTGAGGTGGGGTTTGAACCCAGTCCTCTGAGTCTTTCTTCTTGGTCTTATTAAGGACAACCTAGGAGGGAAACAGTCACAGTCCAGGGTCACACAGTGGGGAGCCGCAGAGCCAAAATTTGAATGCAGTCCTTTACCACAACCCACCCTGCCACGCCATGTTCTAGGTAAACAATAGGAGCAATGCTGGATGAAAGGGAGTGGGAGGGGCACTAAAGCCCTATCGTGACCATATGAAAATAATGACTCATGCTTCTGTAGCTCCTTCATATTTAACAACCCTCCGAATTATTATTGCCATTTTAGAGAGGAAGAGACTGAGGCTCAGAGGGGGCCTTGCCTTGGGTCACCAAGCCCGACCCCCATCCCCCACTCGCCGTCCCAGCCCAGAAGCTTCCCTACAGCGTCCAGCCTGGGCAGGGTGAGAGGGGTGTGCTGGGGACCAAGCCTGGAGCATTGCTGTCCCTTCCCTAAACACCCTCCACCACTACCACCACCACTCCCTGCCCGCCTCCCCCCCCACACACACACTCACACTCACTCATACTCATACATTGTTGGCTGGGGAAGTGCTCTGGGCTGACCCAGATTAGGTAACAATCAGGTAACAAGCAATGAAAGCATGAGAAGATTGGGAAGGTAGTCAGAGGCCAGGCTGGGAAGGGCTTCCCAAGAGAAACAGAGATTAGGGAGGATGGACGGTGATACCGTCCATCAGGGACATTGCTTTGGCTCCTGATGGCTGAGTGCCTCCGGCTGTCCAGCACACTCTCATGGCCTCTTTTGAGGGAGAACTGGGGAGTGAGCTTTTACAAAGCCCAAGTTCCTGGCTGGTTTTCTGCAGCTAAGATGAGAAGGCCAAAAGTCAGTCCTCTCTCTAGAAAGCCAAAGCATTTCAAGGATGGTTGGCTACTGGCTTGGGGCTCTCTGTCAGGCCGCCTTGCCAGTGACCTCTCACCTTAATGTCTGTTTGGTGACAACTAAAAATAGGCCGTGGGGTGGCCAGCAGGGCACTCCTGCAAGGTCAGAAGTCACTCTCTGGACACTGGAGGACCGTGGAGTCCAGAAGGGCAGCTGGGCTGCCAATGCTCCATTCCGAGGCTGAGCTCCCCATTCCCCAGTCCTGCCCTGGCTCTCATGACCACCAACTCAAGTCATCATTCATGTGCGCTCTCCCCCAGGGCCCAGCTCCCCAGCCCTTAGGAAAAGGGGACAGCTACCTGAGTTGTGGTTTCTTCACCACCTACCAGCCTGACATCTGGTCTGCCACGGTTGGTGTTTTGGCACCATGAGAAGGGATCACATGGCCCCCTGCATTAGGCCCAGCCTCCATCTAGGTTGTTCTCAGAACAAGGACAAGCCCACCTGTCCCTGCTTCCCCCTTGTAACCTTTGCTCTGCTTGAAACAGGGCAAGAACCTATGGGCTTCATACCCTTAGCAACCTGGGAGAAAGAGGCTCAGAATTCAGAGCATTTACCAGGGAAGGCAGATGGGAGTGGGGCAGCTTCAAGGCAGGAGCAGATACCTGCCCACTGGTGAGAAGGTGAAGGACATCAAAGCCCAGCCCTGCATCTCAGCTTTATGTAGTGGTTTGGGTGAAAGTCCTCTCTGGTGAAGTCCTAGGCACAGTCAGAGGGTTCAGTCGGAAACGGATCATGTATCTGCCTGGCCCTTGTGGCCTTTCCCGATGCCCTCCCGAGGACTCCTGCTGCAGGTACTATCTGTGCTCCCTGTGAGCAGAGACAGTCCGCCTTTCCTGTCTGGATCCCCAGGCTGCACACTTGCTAAGTGCTAAATAAATCCTTTTCATTCTTCCTGGGGGGAGGCACATTGAACAATGTTTCAGGGTGGCAAAATTTACAGTAAACAAGTGACCTTGCATTGTAATGCCCTGGAAAGAGCACTGAATTTAATATCTCAGTCCTAGCCATGCCTTTTGCCAGGAGCTGTGTAGCCATGGGAAAGACCTTTGGTCCCTCATTTTCTGAATCAGCAAAATGGGCTGATATGAGGAAACCTGCTGAAAAACCTGAAAATGCTACCAAAAGCTGAGTTTCTGGTTCTGAAAAGCTGTGCAAGATTTTCACTGGAAATCTGTAAGGTGGGTACACCTGGGTATATCCGGTGCACCAGAGAAAGTAGAAATCTATCAGGGGTGCAGCCTGCATCATGAGAGACACCGAAAGTTCTTCCCCCTTTGGAAGGACAGACCTGGCTCTCCCCACAGGACTCTCTGTCCCCTCAGAGAGGGAAGAATGATGGTGTAACCTATTAGGTGCCTCACCACGCTCCTCCAAGGTAGCTGAGGCATCACCCTCAATTACCCATAATAAGGTTTTCCTCTTGGCCCTGAAGCCTTAGTCTGGCTCTGCCAAGGCTCCTAAGATCACCCCTGCTTTCTTGTCTTCTGCTAAGGAACCCCCAGAGAAGTCAACCTGAACTTGAACCACATGGCAGGTAATTAGTCAATCAACAAGCTAGAAGTGCCAGGCACTGGGTCAAAAGTCAAAAGTAAACTTTTCCTGCCCTCGAGGGGCTTACATTTGCACTGCCCCAGAAGAAATGTGACCTGGATAAGTCTTAAGCAAGAAAGAATTCAGCACCAAATCAGCTCCATGGCTGTCTGTCCCTTGCACCCCAGTAAACTGAGGAGCTCAAAAAAAGCTTAAGGCCAACTCAAGTTTAAATTATCCCATGAGAAGGAAGACAGCCTTGCCATTGCCATATTCCTACCTGTGAGACCATGAACAAGTCATTTGCCCTCTGGGGCCTCAGTTTCCCCACCCAGATGAGGGTTTGGGGCTTGATTGCTAAGGTCTCTTCTAGCTCATCTGATTCCTGTTTATTTCATCTACACTACAAAACAAACATCATTCTGGTGTTCCAATCATTCTAAAGAATGAAGAAGTGGCCACTGGGAGGGACCCCCAGAGTCACAGCTGGGAGGCCAACGATGAGCCCATAAAAAGGAATCTCCTATATCGTGGGCTGGCCAATTAAACCTATGGATGTCAGGTGCTGTATGCACCACGTGTATGTGGCCAGCCATCCCTGAGGTCCGTGAGCACCCGTTTGTCGTGACCTGACTCAGCAATTCTGAGGAGCACTCATGCTTCCAAATACCAATGGCAGTGGGCCATAGCCAGAGAATAGAGGGCCATACGAGACAGACATCAACCAATCCATAAACATGTGTCAAGAGCCTAGCACGGGCCAGGCACTGGGCTAGAGGCTAGATCGAGGGCTGGCATGAATCACTTGAATCAACGTGGTCTTGTGGAATACTCTTGCCTAAAGGTGTGGCCACTCCCCAAATGAGCCCCAGTGTGCCTTCCCTTCTAGAGAAGTCTATGAGAACCAAGAGTAAAGCTGGGAGGGGTCTTCAAGGTTATCTAGCCCAAGCCCTTTATTTTATAAATGGAGAAGTTGGGTCCCAGAGAGGTTAAGTAATTTAACTCCCGAACAGCATTTATCTGGCACGCCAAGGTTTTCCTAGAACCTTACAAAACAGCAGAGACAATACTCCAATGAAGACCTTCCAGATCAAAAGCTGTTGCACCACACTGTTTGAATGAAGCAGGCAATGACTCACCAAGGACCCACGTTTCCCGTTCAAAAAATTCAAAACCCTGGATAGAAACAATCAATTAACAAGACTTTAATTAAGCCCTGATTCCAGGCATGACAGCATTAAAACGAAAGGGCTTTACACAGCATTTGGGGTGAGAGAACCAAGAAATGATTAAGGACATATTTTATGTAGGGAAGTCACAACTTAATGCTATGCAGTGACAGTGATGAATTTGGATGAATTCCATAGCAGGACTTATGGGTGCTTCTATGTGTGTGTGTGTGTGTGTGTGTGTGTGTGTGTGTATGTATATATATTCACATATGACAAGTTTATATGTATATTTTAACTGCAATATTGGTGCTGTATAAAGAAGGTTGCATTTGGAGCCAGAATACCTGAGTTCA